CATCCAAGAACAGTTTGGTGATGAACAATGCCGTTTCCAGCATGATGGAGCACCGTGCCATAAGGCAAAAGTGATAACTATGTGGCACGGGGGAAGAAAACATGAACATTTTGGGTCCATGGCTAGGAAACCAGACCTTAATCTCATTGAGATCTTGTGGTCAATCCTCAAGGGGCAGGTGGACAAAGAAAAACCCACATATTCTGACGAACTCCAAGCATTGATTATGCAAGAATGGGCTGCCATTAGGCAGGATTTGGCCCAGAAGTTGATTGACAGCATGCTAGGGCGAATTGCAGAGGTCTAGAACGGCCGACACTGCAAATATTTACTCTTTGCATAAACTTAATGTAATTGTCAATAAAAGCCTTTGACACTTATGACATGTTTGTAATTATACTTCAGTATACCATAGAAACATCTGACAAAAAGATCTACAAACACTGAAGCATCAAACTTTGCAAAATATTTGTGTCATTCTCAAAACTTTTGGCCACAATTGTGAGAGGGGTCATCATATAATCCGGATCGTCATATTCAGACCAAGACGGTAACTGACTGAAATAATCAGTAATGGAATAACTAAAATAATTACAGCCATGTGTTCACTTGTGTTGGCATTTGGACCTGGGACCACAAGTCAATTTGGGCATATCTTGATATTGTAACTGTCCATCAAATATACACACTGTATTACAAATTAGATATGGAAATGGGTCATTATACAGTGCTACCCATTCTCCTGCACCCGATACACCCACTAACAACCCACTAACTTCATCCTCTTTCAGGCATCTCTCGAACAGTTGTATCATTAACTATGGATATCAGATGTAAATCGATCAGATCTTACTCGATCAGGCGTAACTCGATATACGGCTGTACTCACACTAGTTGAAATGCTGTCTTTTAAACACGTACTGTATCTTTTAGTATTACTTTACATTTTCATACTCCGTTTTATTACCGTTGCAACTAATGTTGACCTTTGATCCATGAGATTTTTGTTTCATTAAAACATTCTTTTGAATAAAACTGTTTTTGTCAGTGTTGACAACTACACAAAATGAAAGATTATTATCATAAAAGACAACAGTTTAAACGATCACAGTGTTTGACTCTGTTGTGTACCTAGTAGAAAATTGTTAGTTAGCTGATGAATTTGAACTAACCAAAACATCCTCATGACCCCGGCCATGAAAGCATTTGGATGATGAATGGATTTAGGCCTAAATATGACACATGCAAGAAAAGCAAGGGCCCCCTCTTCTGGTAAGTCCTGGTATCAACCCAAAAGCTGTTGGTCAGATTTTTTTGGCATGTGAAGGATAGTACTCAACATTTTACATACACTGTGGGGCCATAAGAAATAGAAAATGTGCCATAAATAAATGTGCGTTTTTTGTTTTTTTTTTAAATATAGTTTTCATTTTTATTTCAGTTCACGAATTAATTTTTTTAATTTAGTGTCAGTTTTCATTTCAGTTCTAGTTTACGATGACAACACGGTTCCAACACGTCCAATGTGCACAAAACGCACACACTGGCACCGTCAACCAACACAGAATAATCCCAGATTTTAGCCTTAACGTTTTCACAAACACTTATTCAATGAAGATTCTAATGTTGCAGGCAGACAACTTCATGGCTTTAATAATGAGTTTATTTAGCAGCTACAAGAACAAAAGAACTAAAAAAGCTCTCTGTTCTAATGCTAATTTAGTAAACATGAATAGACGAGTACTTAGGGTGGTTTTGTCTAATCTGGCGGTCCATCATCCAGAATAGCTCCTGTGCGTGTCCTCTTCAGGTGCTCGTGCATCACACTTTGCACAGTGTAAAACCACCTTTGCGTTTTGTTACAATTTGAACTACTCCCATAAGTATGTAGTGATATTAAAGGAAAACATCTGTGATAATGAATTGAAGCATTTTACAAATTTTATTTAAATAATTTTTAAAATGATGCGTCCATTTAAAATACTGATGTTGATGCATTTTCAACATCGACATCATCGACTGTGTCAACTAATTGCCGCAGCCCTAGCCAACTGTATTTTTGTATTTGTGAAGCAGGTGTAGAACAGGTTCAGGGTGCCTGAGGTTCTGACCTGTGGGGTACAGTAGTCTGTAATGGTTTTAATACCTTTCCTCTATGGGCACTTCTGTAGGCTGATGTGTCTCCGGCCTTAAAGGCAGCATTACGTAGCCTGGTGAGTGACCATACTTTGCTGTCCAACCATGGCTTCTAGTTTGGAAACATCTTGATGGCTTTGGTGGTTAGTACTGTCTTGACACAGAAGTTCATGTAGGCTAAGATAGATGGATGTATCGCTTTTAAAGGTGAATTTTTAAAGGTTTAAAGGTTAGCATGGGCTCTCTGACTGGGGTTAGCAAGGGAGCTCTGACCAGGGTTAGCATGGGTGCTCTAACCGGGGTTAGCATGGGCGCTCTCACCAGGGTTAGCATGGGTGCTCTAACCGGGGTTAGCATGGGCGCTCTGACCGGGGTTAGCATGGGCGCTCTGACCGGGGTTAGCATGGGTGCTCTAACCGGGGTTAGCATGGGCGCTTTGACCGGGATTAGCATGGGCGCTCTGACCGGGGTTGAATTAGGGTTAATTAATTAGTTAATTTGACTCTTCACAGTTGGGTTCTCTGACGCAATGTATATGTCTGTTTTTCTATGCTTTAATACATAGTTACATTATTCATTCCTACATTGTATGTTTCTTTAATTTTTTAGATGCTCACAAGCCAGAAGAATCTTGATAAAATGATTTAAATGAAAAACCTGAGTCAGCCACCATAACCTTTCAATTGTCTTTATTTAGTAACATGCATACATTTGTGGAATTCAAATATATCCACTGACGAAATAAAACTTTAGACATTAAACTATGAAATGCAGTTCAAGTGTATATGATTTGGAAGATGTCAAGAAATAAAGTTACGGAAAAATTAACAGTATAAAAAATTAACAGTATTAAAAGTATAAAATGCAGCAAAATTTTGATTGAAAGATGGCAGGAAATTATGTCACAAGAGAATAAAAAAGTGGCTGAAATGTGATTTAATAAAATTGTTCTTCATATTTTGCCAAGCAGGAAAGAGGCATTACTGAAAGAAGCCCTGGTCCAGCCTTTTCTTCACCCCCTGAACCCACTGATCACTAGGATCGACACACACTTCTTTGCCCTTTTTGGTGTAAAGTCTGAAAATGAAAAAGAAAATTACATGGGTCTGCTTGTCACTTGTTAGAATCCTACATCTTATCCTGAATTTAATGTCAGTTCTATTATAGACATTCTGCAGGCAGCAAACTTTAAACCCCAAAGCAGTGTCATGACTTGCTGCGAGCACGACGAGAAGGGACACACAGGAGTCCAGAGGTACCAGGAAAACTCGGGGTTTATTGGGGAGAATACAACACACACGGGAAACACTGGCAGCGACGACGAAAGGACGTTAATGACAGGACTAGAGAAACAGACTCGAACGCGGACTGAAATACACAGGATCAGTTGGAAATAACAGGAAACAGCTGGTGACATCGGGATTCCACACGAGGTTAACAAGGGGGTGTGGCACACAGGAGAATCAGACAAGCAGGGCATGACAGCAATAACAGTGCAAAGCAATAAATGAAAAGAGTCAATATTTACATAATTCCAGGTTTACTGCAGTCCCCTCTGGTCTCCGCATATCTATCTATCAGGTCCTTCCTCAGTCTTCCAGTAAAGTATGTAAAACAACAGTTTTCTGGTCCATTGGCATCTGGATAGACATGAACAAAAAGAACAAAAATGTATATATAGTTTACAAAATATATACAACCACTCTGAATACATACATAAAAAATTTACACGAAGAACTAGTCATAACTGTATTCATATTTCACAATTGGGTCCATAATCTTTATGAATCATTAAAATCTAAGATGCTGACAAAGTCCTGATAAAAGCTGTGAGATGCTGCAGACTTACTTTGAGCCAGAGTGGAGGACAGCAGCACTGTCATCAGGAGGAAGATGGCAGAGATCTGATGGGGCTTCATGATTCCACTGGACGTCTCTGAAGATCAGCGCCACTTCTACAGCTAAACTGAGGCCAGCAGAGTCGAACCACGTCCTTTTAGAGGGGTTTTGTGAGTGCAGGTGGCTAGAGGGGGTGGATGGAAATGTAAAAAAAAAAAGTATTTACCACTTAATGCATCTAAAATAGATTGACCACAGACAAGTTAGGGGGCAGAATTTGCTGGGACTGACATCACATGCATTCTGAACATGTCCTATAAGGTACAGCAGATAGTAACATTAGCCACAGTACATGTTTCCTGTTGGCTGTTTTTCAAAGCACATGAAGCCACCTGACTGAGTCTGGTAAGTAACCTTCTACACAAGCAGGTTGAGGCCAAGTTTATATCTTAATATTCTTCTAAGGGATCCCTCTCAGACTGATAATGACATAGAAACCATATATCATAGAAATCGCCATATATCATAGAAAAAATATTTTATCTGTCCAGCTATCCTACTTATAAGCACTGGTAGATTCAGGGAGGAGCAGGGGTCGGCACAGTGCCCCCGTGACTGAAAAAACATTGTTAAAGTGACCTTTAGAGTGGTGAAAATGCCATGATTGTTAGCTTTCACATGATATAATGTTGCATCATGTGAGATGATATGCCCTATACAACAACAATGTGATGCGGTGTCTTAATGAGTGCCTTCTAGTGAAGGGAATGTGTTGTAGTGTCTTAACTCGTGTGAAATTTTTGATAAAGAGTTAATGGTTGACCAGCACAGCAGCTAATGGTCATTTCAATATTAAAACATTCTAGACTTCAGAGGTTACATTAAAGATGAAAGTATGTGCATATGTGTTTCTTTCTATAGAGTTGAGTTCATAGAGCAGCGGTGGCCAATCTGATTCGCAAAGGGCCGGTGTGTATGCAGGTTTTTTAGGTCAGCTGTTCAAACCCAGATGTGAGGACTCCTCAGCCAATCAGTCCTCTAATTAGTAATATAATTAGGGAGCTGTAACGAAAACCCGCATACACAGCGGCCCTTTGCGGATAAGATTGGCCACTCCTGTCATAGAGGGATTTCCCCTCAAGAGGTGTGATCCCCCAAAAAGACTATTAATACATGAACCAGTAAGAAGCGCATACTGTATGAATAGAGGTAAATATATTAATATTTTAAATGCAGATGAAGGTGCAAAGCATCCATTAACATTAAGATATTAATGTATACCCAGCCTCTTGCGTCCATGTGGAGCAATAAATAAAACCAGCCAATAGCAGATAATGCAACTGAAAGCATTTCCATTCAGTGCAATTCTTTCTTTGGCATTGAGTTCATGGATGTCACCTTCCCAAAAAGATACTGACCGGAAGTGAAATTGTGGAATACTATGAATTTGGAGAGCTTTTCAAAGTCAGGTTCAAATATATCCATCCATCCATTCATTTTCTGTACCTCCTTGTCCTATTCAGAGTCATGGGGGTCCAGAGTCTATCCCAGAAGTCATGGGCACAAGACAGGGAATAACCCAGGACAGGGCGCCAACCCATCACAGACTTCAGATATAGCCAGTTACAATTAACAATAGCAGGACATCTGTTTGTGCTTAAATAGACATGAATATTGGTATATCTATATACGTATGTATGTCTGTATTTAAATACACATGTATGATACGTGCTGTGAGAATTTCCACTTTGTGGTCGTTCAAAGTTACTCATCTCTAATTTCTAGCCACGATTCTCAGTCATTTCTCTATTTTAGTCAGAAAGATTTTGGAGAAAAAAGTCATATACCACCCTCTTTGTTTGTCCTATAAGGTGTTGCATGTATTTTTCCTCTGTATATACACCGTGGCCATAACTTTAAAACCAGTGACAAGGGTGCCATCATATATTAGGCAATTGAACAGTCAGTTCTTGAAGGTGACATGTTGAAAGTAGGAAACATGGGCAAACGTAAGGATCAGAGTGACTTTGACATGGGCTCAAATCGTGATGGCTGGACGACTGGGTCAGAGCATCTCCATAACGGCACCTCTTGTGGTGTGTTCCCAATATGCCGGAGTCAGTACCTACCAAATTGGCCTAAGGAACGCCAACTTCCTGGGTCATGGGCACCCAAGGCTCATGATGTGCACGGGGAATGAAGGTTAGCCCATCTGGTCTGACCCCACAGGAGAGATACTGTAGTGCAAATTGCTGAAAAAGTCAATCCTAGCTGTGATACAAAGCTGTCAGAATACATAATGCTTGCAGCTTGCAGCGTATGGGTCTGGTAGCCGCAGCCCAATCAGTATCCATGCTGACCTCTATCCACCAGTGACAGCACCTACAATAGGCACATGCGTGTCAGTACTGGAAGAAGGTGGCTTGTTCTGATGAGTCTGATGAGTTTGTCTGTTACATAATGTGGACAACCGGGTGCATATGCCGTGTTTACCTGAGGAAGAAATGGCACCAGGATGCACTATGGGAAGACAGCAAATCGGCAGAGGTGATGTCATGTTCTGGCCACTATTCTGCTGGGAAACCTTGGGTCCTGGCAATCATGTTGATGTTACTTTGACACGTACCACCTACTGTACCTAAACAGACCAAGTGCACGCCTTCATGGCACCTATATTCCCTGATGGCAGTGCCTTCTTTCATTTCAGGATTGGTTTAAGGAACATGAAAACAAGGAGTATTGGCCTCCAAATTCCATAGGTCTTAATCTGATGAAGCATCTGTGGAATGTGCTGGACAAATTAGTCCGATCCAGGGAGGCCCCACCTCACAATTTACAGGACTTAATGGATCTGCTGCTAATGTCTTGGTGTCAGATACCACAGGACACCTACAGAGGTCTTGTGGGGTCCATGGCCTGATGAGTCAGAGCTGTTTTGGTGGCACAGTGGGGACCAACACAATATTAGGCGGGTGATTTTAATATTATAGCTGATTGGGATATATTTAGACTGATTTTGGTTCAATTTATAATTAGGAAAGTACCTTGTTTGCATGAACACTGAGTTACCTCCCACTTAAGGCAAGAGTCCCTTGCCTTATTAATAACTACAGCCCTATCCTGTGTTCCATGCATCACACATTACTTTCTTGAAAATTCAGCTTACAGTAATCTGCATATGAAAAAGTCATGTGATGTACAACCTACTTTTGTGTCTTACCAAAATCTTTTATTTTTTTTCAGCCTTCCAACCAATAATCAACTTCAGGGTTGCTTGGGGTGGAGTCTATACCAGATGGCACTAGACATAGGGCAGCTGTCCATATGTTTTGGACTGCAGGAGTGGACTGGAGTATCCGGAGGAGACCCACATGAGCATAACAGGCAGAATGAGATTCGAACCCCCAACTTTGGAGGTATGAGGCAGAGCATGTGAGCGGAGCGGAGCGGTGAGAATTTCCGCTCCTCGCTCACGCTCCGCTCCGCTCCGCTCACATGCTCTGGTATGAGGTGACTGTGCAGGCCACACAGGAAACATTATACACTATATTCCNACATAATGTGGACAACCGGGTGCATATGCCGTGTTTACCTGAGGAAGAAATGGCACCAGGATGCACTATGGGAAGACAGCAAATCGGCAGAGGTGATGTCATGTTCTGGCCACTATTCTGCTGGGAAACCTTGGGTCCTGGCAATCATGTTGATGTTACTTTGACACGTACCACCTACTGTACCTAAACAGACCAAGTGCACGCCTTCATGGCACCTATATTCCCTGATGGCAGTGCCTTCTTTCATTTCAGGATTGGTTTAAGGAACATGAAAACAAGGAGTATTGGCCTCCAAATTCCATAGGTCTTAATCTGATGAAGCATCTGTGGAATGTGCTGGACAAATTAGTCCGATCCAGGGAGGCCCCACCTCACAATTTACAGGACTTAATGGATCTGCTGCTAATGTCTTGGTGTCAGATACCACAGGACACCTACAGAGGTCTTGTGGGGTCCATGGCCTGATGAGTCAGAGCTGTTTTGGTGGCACAGTGGGGACCAACACAATATTAGGCGGGTGATTTTAATATTATAGCTGATTGGGATATATTTAGACTGATTTTGGTTCAATTTATAATTAGGAAAGTACCTTGTTTGCATGAACACTGAGTTACCTCCCACTTAAGGCAAGAGTCCCTTGCCTTATTAATAACTACAGCCCTATCCTGTGTTCCATGCATCACACATTACTTTCTTGAAAATTCAGCTTACAGTAATCTGCATATGAAAAAGTCATGTGATGTACAACCTACTTTTGTGTCTTACCAAAATCTTTTATTTTTTTTCAGCCTTCCAACCAATAATCAACTTCAGGGTTGCTTGGGGTGGAGTCTATACCAGATGGCACTAGACATAGGGCAGCTGTCCATATGTTTTGGACTGCAGGAGTGGACTGGAGTATCCGGAGGAGACCCACATGAGCATAACAGGCAGAATGAGATTCGAACCCCCAACTTTGGAGGTATGAGGCAGAGCATGTGAGCGGAGCGGAGCGGTGAGAATTTCCGCTCCTCGCTCACGCTCCGCTCCGCTCCGCTCACATGCTCTGGTATGAGGTGACTGTGCAGGCCACACAGGAAACATTATACACTATATTCCCAAGAGTACTGGGACACCTGCCTTTACACACACATTAAATTTAATGACATCCCGTTCTTAATACATAGGCTTTAATATGGAGTTGGCCCACCCTTTGCAGCTATAGCAGCTTCAGCTCTTCTGGGAAGGCTGTCCACAAGGTTTAGGAGTGTTTATGGGAAATTCTGACCATTCATCCAGGAGAGCATTTGCTTGGTCAGGCACTGATGTTAAACGAGAAGGCCTGGCTCACAGTCTCCACTCTAATTCATCCCTAAGGTGTTCTATCAAGTTGAGATCAGGACTCTGTGCAGGCCAGTCAAGTTCCTCCACTTCAGACTCGCTCATCCATGTCCTTATGGACCTTGCTTTGTGCACTGGTGCACAGTCATGTTGGAACAGGAAGGGGCCATCCCCAAACTGTCCCCACAAAGTTGGGAGCATGATGTCCAAAATGGCTTCGAATGCTGCAGCATTAAGAGTTCCTTTCAATGGAACTAAGGGCCCAAGCCCTGAAAAAAAACCCCACACCATAATCCCCCCTCCACCAAATTTACACTTGGCAGAATGCAGTCAGGCAAGTACCATTCTCCTGGCAACCGCTAAACCCAGCCACCAAATGAAATTACGGTTTGCCTTTTATTCCCAGATCTTATGTTATTCACATAGAGTATGTGTAAAGTCTCACTATTGATTAGCCTCACTATTATTTGTTGTGTCATACTGTATATGTATACACTTTTTTTTTGTTTACATATTTAGGGTTAAGGTTGTCATTGCTGGGATTTGGGTTTTTTCCAATAGAAATGAATGGACGGTCCCCACAAAGACATGAATACAAACGTGCGTGTATGTGTGTGTGTGTGTGTGGATTATTTTTATATTACATTGTTGGAATCAAATTCCCCTCACAATGTAATAAAAACCTGTTATTTTCACATTGTGAGGACCATTTTTCAGGTCCCCACAAGGATCTGTGAATGCAATCAAAAAACTAAAAAAGCAAGACTCATATTTTGTTTGGTTACTTATGGTTATGGTTAAGGCTCGATAGGGGTTAAGGTTGTCATGTTGGGGTTATATTTTCCCCATAGAAATGAATGGTGAGTCCCCACAAAGATATAATTACAAACCTTTAGCGAGTTGATTATTATGGACAGGGTTCGAATTACAAAGTGGCTTTCGGGGGAGCCGTATTTACCGATCCTCCCTGACTGACTTTAACGCTTTTGGTGCATGTTCGGGCATTTAAAACAATAGGTTTACAGTAAACCTATTGTTTACTTAGTAAACCGTTTACTTCAAAACGCAAGCGTCAGTCAGTGTTGTCAGTGTTAGGGCAAACAGCTCTGTCCACGGTTCTGAATCAACCGCGCTTAGGCCTACATCATGCAAATCATGATGAAAACAGAATAACTCACATAACAATCATAAAAAAATACATCAATATTAAATAGGATTAGGGCCAATCCTCACAAACGCACAGATCAAGTAAGTAATTCCATGATTCTTACCTTAAATCAGAAGTGACCACAGAGGCCTGGGGTCTTCTGTCTTTGCTTTCCGTCCAGTTGAAAGGTGTTGCATGATCGCCTGGTCCGCTGCAGGTCGCAGCGGTGGTTTCTGGCGCCAAAGTCTCGCTATCCTCGGTGCTGGTGCTGTCACTAGCAGCAACTTTTAGCGGCGGCAGCGGCGGTAACACCGGCAAGCTAGTTGTAGCTGGTGCACTGTCATCACTCCTCTTCGTTTGTTTTGTAAATCCAAATTGACTGAGGTTTGGCTGCTTTCTTTTTGACATTCTTATTAGTATCCACAGAGTGTTCCAAAAAACGAATAAAGTATGTTTTGAACTTGAAGTTAAGCTAACATTCAAATACCAACTCAGTGAGAAGTTCAAGTGGTGACGTAAACGTAGTACCGTAATTTTCGGACCATAAGACGCACCTAGTTTTAGAGGAGGGAAATGAAGAAAAAAAAAATTCTGAACCAAATAGTGTCCTAAAATATTTTATGTCAACCATCCTTACCTGGCCACATCCCTCCCCCCTTTTATGGCGCTGATGGGGATGTATCTGGATCGCGTTTCACCGCTGCGTTGTTCAGCAAATTACCATGCGAATGCGATTTGAATACGCGCTAATGCGGCTATTTAGAATGTGAATAGCGATCTTCGGGTGACAGCGGTACTACACGCCCCCGATGCAGGTAAAACAAAGTAAGGTGACATGGTTTGATTTTTTTTTTTTTTTGTATTTAACGTAATTTTGAAAAGACAGAAGCCAGCGTTTTTTCATTATTCTACATTAAGATTTCAGTGAGATATAAACTGAAATAGACGCGAAAAGTACGCTGTACAATGCACTCGAACCCAGAAGGTTAAAGCACGTGAGCAGAGCAATATTCGGACCGTAAGACTCAGGGACTTTTTCCACCCACTTCTTATGGTCTTCTTATGCGTCTTATGGTATGAAAAATACGGTAATTTCAGTGCAGCGCCGCCACGCATGGATGGAGACAGCAGGAGACAGCGGAAAATAGTGTTCGGAAATAGTAATGTAATGAGCGAATAAACACACAACATTGACACATTTTTAATATCATCATTTATTTCAGGAACCTTAATGTACAGAAAATCAAAATCTATATGCGACACAAAAAATGGAAAGTGTTTTAGAACTCCCCCTAAATGTCTCAAAGTAGGCTTTCAGGGGAGCCCAGGTCCTTTTCAGGGGAGCCGAGCTCCCCTTAGCTCCCCCGTAATTCGAACCCTGATTATGGACAAATATTATAAATATTTATCATCTCTTAGTAGCTGGTAGAATAATTTTATTTATTTGTTTTATCCTTTTCAGTTGTGAAGCACTGTAGTGCGTGTATGTTAATTTTATGTTTAGTATTTGTCTTCTGTATTCATGTGTTCTGTGTTCACTTAACCCCACTCCCCTTTCTGTTTATACAGACATTGTTGTGTTTTTGCTGTTCTTTGAAAATTCTAAGTTAATCCTAAAAAAATGAATCAAGTGTCATGTATCAGGAAGGACGGAAACAAAGGCAGGCATGGGGAAAAGCAAAGGGGACTTTATTTAAACAAAACACAACAAGTACGGCAAAAGGAAAAGGACCACAAGGAGTCAAAATGGGGTAGGGTGAATCGGGATTATTCTACGTGGATTGATGGTGCCAGTGCGTGTTGTTGGGATCAGCATTATTGTCACGCCCACCCGGGCAGGGCACACCACCTGAAACTAATCCACACCTGTCTGCTCCTCTGTAAAAGGTGAAAGTGACTTTGCGAACCTCACAAAGTATTGTTGCCATTTTCATGAGCTGTACTAAGCATTTCTTCTTCCTTGTCTGTTGTCTCTTCTCCCCGTCCTGACTGCCCTGCCTCCTCCGGACCCTGCCTTGCCGGTTCCTGCCTGTCTTTGCCTACTGTATCTCCTGCTGCACTGGTCGATTTGGAGAAGAAGTACTGTTGCTTCACTTATCAAGATGTGCTAACTGATGCCAACATTTCCATTGCCCATTATGCCCAGTACCGATGTTTAAACCAAGAATTTTAGTACAAGAAAACCAAAGATACTGAAAAACATGGTAAAGTGGATTTCAGCATTTTCTGTTGTCACATTTATACATTTATACATTTAGGGTGATATTCTGTGATAGTCCTGAGTATGACGTTAAACTGCAACCAGCCCTACTCAAACTTGGTTTAGGTTTGTGGCGGGATTGGCACTCCAACCACCGTAAAACAACTCAACACCAGTTCGATCTAAAAAGGCACAACACCCTTCTGCTCTCTGTGGGCGTAGTTCTGCTGCAGCCACCAACAGGAAGGCTACACGCATCTTGACGGGGATGGTGGACAGCGCTTGGGCTCTTCATCCCTGGACGAGACGAAACCGTCGGAGAGCTAATAGGGTCAGGCCTGTTGGCGATTGGGGCTGGTGTGGTGCTGAGGCGTCGCCTGCTGCATGGCGGCACTTGGGCCCCAGCTTGAGGTGGCCCATCTGGGGAAACACATGGAACATCTTGTCTCTCCGGCTAGATGATCTTCCTCTGCTGTTGGGGGAGCTTCGTAAACTCTGCATTTCAGTGGTGGCACTCTCTGAGGTACGCAGACCAGGGAGTGGCCAGATCTTTGTACATGATTATACCTAATTTTGGTCTGGTTTGTTGCTGTAGCAGATCAGCTCCTCCCTGTGGTGTCTGATGTCACTCCTTTCAACGAGAGTATTACGAGAATCAGGTTGTTGTCTCAGTGTATGCTCTGACTGCGGTTAGTGATGTCTCGTTGAGGGAGACATTTTACTTGTAACTTTGCTGGGTGGTTGATGGGGGACCACGAGTTGACACACCTCTGGTCATGGATGACTTCAATGCAACCACAGGCACCGACAGGGCTGACTATGAGGATTGTGTTGGTCTGCATGGGTCTGGAGAACAGGGTGAGTGTGGCTCCATGTTCCTTGACTTTGCGAAAGGTCAGGGGTTGCAGGTTGCTGGATCTTGGTTCCAATGCCCTGAGTTGCATTGTTGTACTTGGTACTCCAGTACTGCTGGTGTGGCGAAGGAGATTGATTATATCCTCATGGGCAGATGCTGGAGGCTCCTACAGAATTGCAGTCTACAGAAGTGCCCAGTTTGTGAATTCTGACCACAGACTTATTATTGCTACTCTGAAGATTCAGCCAGGATCCAGTAGGCTACCACCTACTAGGAGAATGAGGCTGGACTTGGCCAGATTCCAAGATCAAGCTGCGAGCCAGACCTCCTGCCCTACTGTGCATCCGGACCGCTGGAAGCGCTTGCGCTTCTTTCCCCTCATAGCCGCGTGCGCGTTTGTCACCAACGTTACCTGCATGATGGTTGTTTGCCAGCCGGCTGGTGCGGCTCCGCCAGTACCTGGTAGCACGCCCGGGCAGATCATGGTGATGGTGTCCCTCCTTGCTATCGGGGCCCTCAGGCACACAGGTGCAGCTTCTGTATGGTGGGGCTGGCAGCCAGTTTGATGTTGCCGGTGGGGACAGGATTTCTGCGGCCCTCTCCGCCTCCTCCAGGGCCTCAGTAAGTGTGGTCAGTGCCCACAACTGGATGTGCTGGCACAGCCACTCCAGTGTCAGTGCTGGAAAAAGGCTTGCCACGCCAACACTTTCTGTGCAGCGTCGGGGAAGTCTGTGTAGCCCCTCTACAGACTGCCGCCAGCCGAACCACAGCTCCATGTCCTCCCCCAGGGTGGCAAGATTTTGCTGCTCACTGGGGGCCAGCCTGAGGAAAGCCTGGAATGTGTCCCCAGTGCCAGTCCAGTGCCAATGCTAGGTGCACCGCCGTCTCCACCTCGCTTCCAGTGATTGTGCTGGCCGGTTAGGCACACTTACTGTAGAGTCCAGTGGCGTCTTCCCTCCATAGTGCAGGAGCTTCACCACAGGCCTTGCCACTCTCTCTCTGCCAAAAGGCAGAGGGCACACCTATCCTCTCCCATCCTCACCACCTTCTACCGAGGCACCATAGAGAGCGTGCTGACCAGCTGTATCTCCATCTGGTTTGGCAGCTCAAAATCCTCAGACAGAAAATCGCTGCAGAGAGTGGTGAGGACTGCAGAGTGGATCATGCTGGCACCATCAGGTCTCCCCAGGAAAGGACTCGGTTCCCGGGATCTTCATGTGCTCTTCTGGTGCTCCACACCACGGCTGCTGGAACCCCTGCTGGAAGTACTGGAGATTCCAATCCCACTTCTGACACCATTGTAATGGTGGGTCGCTGAATCAGGTCGGCAATGATTAGCCAGTACAGACGGTCAGGGTTTCAACCAGCAGATGGTGTTGATTACACCTGTACCACTTGAACGTAAGGCACTTCCACTGCCCACCCACACTGCCCACCCACACTGCCCACCGTGCTCGTCGCCCAGCTTATTCCTAATACACATGGTGTGCGCACACTCACACAAACACACCCACACACACACACACACACACGCACATTCCGTACAACAAAAAACATTAAACAATATACATAACACACAGCACATTTACCAACATAACACAAGCGACTACTAAGAACTATTTACAAAGCTGGCATCAGTCCAACCTGCCACCCTGCCAACCGCTACCTCCGCGCTAAGATATTGTATTGTGTGTGTGTCCACTGGGCATGGTGGGTAGTATGAGTGTGTTGTGAGTATGACTGGTAAGGATGTGATAAAAGCCACCTTGTGGTTAAATTCAGAAGTATCTCACTCTCGCCATTGATCGGCATGGCTCAGCGACCCACCTTCACAATTAACTGCAGTGAGAAATTCTGACAATGTAGGAGTATCTGACAGGCAACACCATAAGTGACGCTCTGCCAGAATGCAGGTAATTTACCACATTAGGGTCTCCCTGAGCAACCATTCGTTTGACGCAAAGTCAAAACAAACAGTTTCTTCAGTATTTCAGGACAGTATATGGATAGTCAGAATGTCAAAACGAAAATAACCTTGCCAAAACAACAGAGAGAGAGAGAGAGAGAGAGAGAGAGAGAGGGAGGGAGGGAGCTGCGAGCCACAGACAGCTGATTTAGTTTGCTGTAGTTAAACACAAGTTAGCTAAATTATCGCTTGTGTATGAGAAGCAGAAAGATGTTACCTGTGTCCCTCTGCTTTAGTTGTTATTGTACCTTTATGAAATGTTACTGATGGTATTAACTGCCTGCAGTAGTAAAAGTAGAATGTTTCTTGCAGTAACCCTGTTATTGACCACGGTGATGTGTACTCATACTGTATGTATGTGTGTGCATGTGACTTGGGAAGTTGGGTTGCACACTGGAAAATGACGCTTCCCAAAAAGCCACTGTATAATTCAAACCCTGAATCTTCATGATTTGACAAACCTTGAACGTGGGGGCTTGAGTATATCTGCATATTATATAAATATACGCACAACTGTATG